GATTTTTACGTGCTTATACTCGAATCGAACGGATCAACGAGACGAATCCAACGAGCCGAAGATCGCCGAATTCCGACATCTCTAAGACTTTCAAATGTCCAACGAACGGTGCATAATCGTAGGATTCGATATCGGTCGTCCATTCGTCCACTCCCTATACGCCCCTGATCTCACACCTATTTACGGGCCATGCCACTCCAGAAAATCTATAAATAGAGCCCTCATTCTTCACAGGGGGGGGGGAAGAGAGAGAATAAGAAGGGAAGAAGAAGAGAAAGGGAAAAAAGGAGAATCCTCTCCTCCTCGACCACCGCCGGAGCTCTTCCCGTCACCTGAATACGCCGGAACTCTGCCGAATATTCGAAAGAACGCTAGAATTCTGCCCAACTTCCATGGGATGCGGAAATTCTTCTCAATTAACGACAGGATCTTCGTACAATGCTAAGACATTAAACTATATATTTCTCTACCGCCGCGAATATTCCAGGACGCAACAAAACTTTATGTATTGACAAGCTGCTTTAAGAAGTAGTATGAAAGTTGTCTCAAACGAAGCCTAAGTTAGAGCTAATCTAAGCTCAGATAATTAAAAAAAGGGATTTACATGGATAATATCTAAAATTATTCTATCGATATATTTAATCATTAAATTTGACTATTTTTTTTAATTTAATATGTTGTTAATGTCATTGCATCTCATGAAAATTCTGAAACTCTTGCTGATAAAGACGAGAGGTGGAAGATCTGAAGACGGACAAAATGTGATCAAATCTATATCGTGTAAAGCTTGATGATACAAAAGATATAAGAGAGTCACAGCGGGATTCACGATAAAGAAGAGCTTGCGTAGAAGCAAACGAGATGGGCTTTGGGTGAAGTTGTGTCAATAGTTAGATGGGCCAGGAACACATAGGAAAAGCCCACTAATTTTAAAGGACTTAAAGAATTTTAACAATATTTGGGTCTGATCTGTGCAGTGTCCCTTTCTTGAGAGGGCCGAGAAATAGAGTTTTTATAATCACTGGGCTTCATTAATGTGTTCCTATGTGGACCAAATTGGAGGCCTTACCTATTGGTGGTCCTTATGGACTTTTATCTAAATCAATGAGCTTTGGACCTTTGGTAGCCCAACCAATCAAACCCTATTCTAGACATATAGGAATCAAATAAGATGCAATAATGAGTAGATGGTACATTGTAAAGTTTAGGTACTTATGAATATATTTATAATATGAGCGTTAATAATTTAATATTTATTATTATAAATTATTTGAAATATAAGCGTTAATTATTTAGAATGTTAAAGTTTAATAAATAATAGTATTTTATAAATAAGTATATGAGTTCATGAGGTTTATAAAATTGGAGTCGAATATGGGAAAAATATTCAAAAGGATCGTAAGAATATTGAAATTATGGATTGTGAATACAAATAATTGGAGGGGGAAATAAAGAAAAGGAAAAAAAAATAGGTTAGACTCTTAAGGTATAATTTATGAGGCCCTTCCAAAAAAAAAATTAAAAATTATGAGGCTCTTCAAGTATAATTTAATTAGGGGATTAAATAATTTTTTAAAATTTGGCATGTTTTTAATCAAATTGAGCATCTTAACGAAGTAAATGCAATGACCCCTATGATTCTTAATTCCGATAATGTTACGTCTATTTAATGTTGAACAAACACTTTATGATTAGGACACTATCCAAAGCATCGTATAGAGAGTTTCTTATTTTATCATATTTACGATGCATGTTACTCTAAAAAACCCGTAAATAGATTTTCATTCTATCTATAAAGATGGTCACAGACAAAATATTCAAAAGAACTCTAAAGATTGAAGAAGCATGAAGCTCCATCAGAGCACCACCATCCTCATTTGGCTGTCACTATCGAGCCATCTTAGATATTAGGTATTAGTTAAATAAGATGTTAGGTGTTAATACGTAAATCCATTAAAGTATCACCATCATAAAACACTTTTACTTTACCGCTGCGAATTTCTAATCGTAATAATATATTGATACGTCACCAAAAAAATGACTTAATTGACCATGAATCTCGAGGCCATCAGGACTTAGATTTCAATTAAACCTATAGTCAAGTTGAACATCTCAACTAGGTGAACCCAACAACACAAAAAATAGTCCAATCCTAGCCCTAACGAAACCAAATCATGGGCCTAAATCATATTTGGAAACTTCGAGACATTAATTAGATGATTAAATGATCTCAAAATTTGGCTGTCTATTGTCCAATCAAGAAGCTAGATGAGACAAATCCAATGTGCCTAAGATCGCTTAATTATGATATTATTAAGACACATAAATATGCCTCCTAACTACAATCATGGGCAGATCCACGTTGCCTCGACCTCAAACAGTAGAGATGAATAAGAGGGTCAATTTCGATCTTTTGCCCCCCCCCCCCCCCTCCAAAATCAAAATTTATTTTTTTGCCATATTCTAAAGCATTTTTCCAACTCCTGCTTGAGTCCTCGACGCCTTTGTTCCGCCTCTTCTCACATGCGACAGTAGACATGCCGACACAGCTAGACGAATGTATTGAATTTGTCCACCCTAAAAAAGGATAGATCCGCCCCTACCTATAGTCCCTCCAACTGACATTCTTGAAACACCATCTCCAAGTAACAATCCTTCCAGTTGTAGTCATCCGCTGACTACTATCCTTCGACCATCGTCGTCGGCCGACTATGGCCCTCAGACCACCATCACTTGGCTACGGTTCTCCGACCATTATTGCTTGCTCAACTACTATCCTTTCAGCCTCTGTCACCCAATCAATTACTATTCTCGTAACATTATTGCTTGATTATAGTTCACCGACCACTATTATTTGCCAACTATAGTTCTTAGACCACAGTCACCCAGCTACAATACTACCAATATTCAATCCTCTAACTATAATCCTATTATAATCCTTTCAACCTCTATTTCCAATCGATTGCTATTATCTAACCACTGTCGCCCGACAAATATGATTCTCGGACCGCCATAACTCGACGACATAGTCCTCCGACCAATGTGGCCTTCCTTGGTCCTTTTGACCTCCATTGCATGTCGACCATGTTCCTTTGACCATCATCACCTAAGTACGACCATTTCAGCCTTCATTTCTATCTGACTTTGGTCCTTCAACCATTATCATCCGACTACGTTCCTTAGACCTCTGTCGCTTGTCTACAATTATGCCAATATGCATCACTCGTTGACTATGAACCTTTCAACCTCCATCGCCTGCTGATAATAGTCCTTAGATTCTTGTCGCTCAGCTATGGTCTAGCTAATCTTTATCTCCCGCTGAATGCTGTTGGAAAATAAATCGCCACACAGATTTGGTGTGCTATCCTATTTTGTGATAGAAGAAGATCAATCACCAAAAGTGAGGTCAACAAATACAGTCTTCGAATCGTCATCACCTAACTACATTCCTCCAACCTCCATCATCGATTGATAACGGTCCTCCAACCTCCATCACCTGCCAACTTCAATCCTCCGACCACTATAGGTCGACTATGATGCTTCCAACCTACGTTACATGCTGACTACAATCCACCGATCAATAATCTCCTTATCAATGACGCTTTGCTACTCTAATGGATACTAAATTCATCAATTATCATCTCCAATAATTTCAATGCACGTCACTGCTTATAAAAGCAGCGTACATCATCAACATCTAACTCCCAACTTCATTCCTTTGATTTTTATTGCATTCCTACCAAAAGAAATTTTCAACTTCAGCCAATTCTTTATAGTGTATCAATGCATTCCCCTAAGGAAGGCTCCACTTGTAATCTAATTCAAATACTAGTGATCAAATTACTTTAACTAGTTAGGCTCCAGGATTTTTCCATTTTTAGGGATTTTCACGTAAAAATTAAGATGTATCTTATGATTGTTGCACTTCTATTGTATTTGTGTTTTTGTTGGTCCTTCATGCAATGCTAAAATATTAAACACTATGTTTCTCTACCGATATGAATGTTCCGGCTCACAATGTAAATAACAATTAAAGATATGTAAATAAAGAAGACTTTTGTGGTATATACATAAACCACCTAAAAATAATCAACTTCATCTTTTCTCTTGTATGAGTTAGGCTTCGTTTGGGACGGCTTTCTTCCTGCTTCATAAAGCTGCTTTCTAGTATAAAAATTAAAATTTTTATACTAAAAAACCGTTTCAAGAAGCAATAAGAAAGCCGTCCCAAACAAAGCCTTAGTCGTAGAAAAAGAAGCGTCTCATATGCTTTTGACTTAATCAAATGGCAGTTTTACATAGACTTTACCTACAACTGAAACTTCAAAATATTTATTCATCGAACAAAGCATGACGAAAACCAAGAGAGTTCAAAAGAGGGCCAAAGCCTGAAAATGAAACTCGAAAAATAGTGCTATTGTGTCTTCATTAAGCTTAGTTACTGAATTCAAAAAACTAAAAAACCCAGTTTTTTTCTATTAAAAATAAAATGTATTGCTTTCATCATTTGGTTGTTTCAAACTATCTCCACAAATCTTCATAAAAATTCCAAAATATGGTGAATTGGTGATTGCAGTTCCAAACATGAAAACATTTCATCAAAATTCATTTCATATTTCCCCCATACAATCAACAGAAAGGATCTTAAAAGAAACCAAAACTTATCCAAAATTCTATTATTTCTCCTACTAGTGCTCACTGATGTTTTATATCCTAAACCGCCATAACTCAAGTAATATTTTGTTATTATTATTGAACTTAGTGTTTTCCTATACTGATTGATTGAAGGTTTTGTCTTCATCCAACAAGTTTTTTGCTTCAAAATTAGTATAAAAGTGTCTCTGATTTGTACTTCGGAGTTCAAATTCCCAAAAACTTATTCTATCCACACTGAAATTTGTGCCTTAATATCATCCAAAATTCTATCTTTTGATGAATTTCTCATATAACAGAAAGAAAACAATTCAAACCCATAAGCAAAACAGAAGAGAAAAAGGTACCTGGAACTGATGAATCAAAACTGAGATGAGAGCTCCAGAAAGCGAGATGCTATCTCATACTTTGCTTTCAGAACTTGGAAAATAAGAATTTGAAGAAGAGGAACACCAACAGTGTCAGCAATCCTAAGGCCACTTTGATTTGTACGCTAAGTCATATGGGTTTTCTATGTCATCCAAAGCAACACACAAACTCTCAGTTTCTTTGTCTGTCAATCACTTTCTTTGTGTAGAGTCTCTCCTCTCACTACCTCTTTGCTTTTAAGGAGGTTTTGGTGTGCTTTGCGAGCACTACCACCTTTAGTTTTTGGGGTCCTACGCCACCACTTTTACAGATGGGCACAGCTTATCTACTTTTTCCAACTTTCACCACCTTCCATTTTACAGCAGAAATGAATTGGCAAATTAGCTCTGTCTCTGTTGTTAGTGAAGCTTTAACTCTTTCTAGCTTCGGCCTAAGAGGCTGTTGAGGACAGTTGAGAGTTTTTTTTTTTGGGGTGAGGACTTTCTCACCTAATTAAGTTAAACTCATATACACAACACATTCTCAAGCTTCGAACCAAACACCTTTCGAGTGATACACTACAGGAAAATCTCTTCTTTCCGGCGGAATATTTGATAGTTTCCGGCGGATTTTTAAAGTTTCCGACGGATTTTCAGCGAAATTTTGTTTCGCCGGAAAATCAAGCGTTGGAAACTTTTTCCGTCGCAATAAATCCGCCAGAATGTTTTTTCGGCGGAAAAAATCCGTCGGAAATTCTGTCGAAAAAATTTGAACTTTATCCGTCGGAAATGCTCCGGAAAAACCGCCGGAACTCCGCCGAAAAATTCCGCCGGTAATGTGCAGTTTTCCTATAGTGATAGCCAAAACTTCCAAACAAAAAATCAAGACAAACTTCCTAGGACCTCTTCCTTTTTTTCTTAATGAAGAAGAGTTTTGGGTACTTGAAGAAACAATATATTCCTTTAATCATCGATTTATTAATCTTTTCACTATATTTAGGTTTCGTTTGGAACAGTTTTTTTTGTTGCTTTATGAAGTAATTTTTTAGTATATAATTTTTAATTCAAAAAATTTTGTACTAAAAAATTATTTTATACAGAAATATCCCAAAAATACTTATTGCACCTTCTATTATGATTAAGATTAAAGACCGGGCGACTCTCATTATAATTTATTATTGTTGAGGATTCTATGGCTATGCATACCCTTTTGTGTTTTGAGTAAGTGGATTTTTTATAATTAAGGTGAATTTAAGAAGTTATTTTTTTTTATAAAGTTTAACACAATGTTAGCCCTAACTATGATGACATATTTCAAATTGCAAATGTGTTGAAAATATTGTGATATAATTTAAAATGTGAATAATATGCCAACTAAATCATATTCAAATATATTTAGCTCACTGAGATATCAATATTAAATCATATTATTAAAATATGTAAAATATAATAATATGTTTCTCAAAAACATTTCTAATTCAAGAAAAAAATAATATGGACACGAAATAAATGGAAAGAAAGTCTGCATTAATAATTGCAAATGAAGAACATTTATGTGGTTTCATGTCGATTTCAACAAACCTAATAGTCATGTTCTTTAGTGCATCGTGCATAAGCTTGCATTGTAGTCTTTTGATATGGGCGAATTATTACGTCCGGTTACCGGACGTCCTGACATACAATCCAGATACGCCACGTCACCCAAATACATTAGGACCCGGTATATTTTGATGATGTGACGCATCTAGATTGGTATCCGGACGAATCCGGACAACGAATGTAATAATTTCCCCTTGATATGAGAGGCACAATGGAGCAAATGCTACAAGAAACAATGAAATGTAGAAGAAAGCATGTAAAAAAAGGCTGAAAAAACTATGGTAGTAATCTGGATAGAAACTACTACATATATCTTTTTCTCTTTGTTTTTTAGTTGAAAAAAATTTTATATTAAAATATTATTTTAGAAAGCTGTAAGAAGTTGTCCCAAATCAGGGGCGGATTTCTTCAGTCACTGGTCACAGGCTCGCAACTCTCCTCGTCCCTCCGTTCTTCCATCCGAAGGCAAGCAGTCGCCGGCGGCGATAGTTGACTGGCGATACTCTTCCAGTAACCGATGTTGAAGCCGCCGGTGATGAGATCAATTTCCCTTAAGATTGGCGACGGCAACGCTAGATTCTGGCATGCCACCTTGTGCACATGTGCTCTCCACCCGTCATGCTCACCTCTGTCCTCACTACCAACCTCTTTGCCCTATATGCCTTCACCTATGCACCAAAACCCTCCACCTGCGCCAGTTTCCACAGCGTTAAGAATATCTCCGTGATCTCGGAGCACGTAGCTGCAACAGTAAAAATTATTTGTGCAAATGTTTGGGATATCATTCTTATTGGTTTCTAAAATAGCTTTTTATTATAAAAATTATAATGCAAAAAATTTTTGTGCTAAAAAAATGATTTAAAAATAATAAGAAAGCTGTCTCAAACAAGCTGTAATCATATATATCTTTAAAAATCTTTCCTCAATAGCAACAAGTTCTCAACCATTTTTTATATATATTTAAAATTTTGATTTTTCATTTATATGTTAATTTGTCAAAATTTTTATTTGAGTCCTATCAAATAACTAAATAAACAATAAATAACTATTTAGTTTTGCATCAAAATTTTGATTACAAACCTAACTATGAGTATGAGCACAATATATAAATGTAGTGTTAATTTTTTTTTTTTAAAACATGTATTCTTTATTTAGTATTTGTATTAGAATTATTAATGATATATTCTTTAAAAATTGTTTTGATCAAGCATGAATCTCAAGGCAAAACAAAATTGAAAACTTCAAAAATTAAATTCGGGAGCATCTGAACTCCGATTTCAGCGAGCTTATAGTCAAACTGAGCGTCTCAAAAATACGAACCCAACGACACCAAATTCAACTCAATCCGAGCCCAAAGGAGCCCAAATCAAGCGCCCAAAGTGCTGTTGAAAAGCTCGTACCACAATTTGAGTTACCAAATGGTCTCCGATTTTAACTAGCTTATAGTCGAGTCAAACGGCTCGACGAGACGAATCCAACGAGCCCAATATCGCCAAATTCTGACATCACTAAGGCCTTCAAATGTCCAATGAACGGTGGACGATCGAAGGATTCAATATCAGCCATCCATTCGGCCACTCCCTATTTGCCCCTGATCTCACACCTATTTACGAGCCATGCCACTCTAGAAAAATTATAAATAGACCCCTCATTTCTCATAAGAGGAGACCCAAGCAAGAAGAAGAAGAGAAGAAGAGAAGAGAAGGAGAGGAGAGGAGAGAACTGCTCCTCCTCGACCACCGACGGAGTTTTTCCCGTCGTCAAAACGAAGCCAGAATCCCGCCAGACGCCCGAGTGACGCCGAAACTCTGCTCGACTTTGTAACTGAATTTCAATTCAGAAGAAACTCATTGTAATCTGATCGTCTTAACTTGTGAGACAAATCAGTCTCTTGTATCTCAAATTATACTAGTGGAACTTTTCAACTAGGCGTTGCCCTGTGGTTTTTTCCCTTTCTAGGGTTTTCCACGTAAAAATCATGGTGTTCTTTTATCTCCTGTTTGTGTGTGCTAGATATTCGTACAACGCTCAGACGAAAATTTTCTAATTCTACCGCCACGTATATTCTAGCCCGCAACAATTAGAATTATCCGATTACATATAAATATTTTTATTTTAGAATTATTCAATATCAAAACATCTATATATTATGTATTTTTTAAATACATTGTCATTATTAAAAAAATTTGATTATTATACTTATTATTTTTTATGATATATTCAGACATTTTTATATTAGTATGTTATTAAATTGATTAGAAGACATTACAATTTTAATTTTCTGATATAGAATTAATATATAAAAAAAAAAAGCATTTTTACATTAGGAAGATGTTGTCTATTAAAAAATGATAAATAAAAAAGGAAGATTTCTTCATTTTAAGGAATTCAATATGACCAAACAAAAAAATAGAAAAATAAAACAGAAGAAACAATGGAAATTACAATGCTTACACACAGTTGATATCATTATTTCTTGTCATTTAAACCAAGAAGAAAGAGTCCTTACGCCATTAATGCTTAAAACAGTAGAACTTTGCAGGGCTGCAGGAGCATTCCAAGCTAAGCAAAGGTTGTTAACCTTGGTTTCAGCATTAGTAATAGAAGTGAGAGAAAAATGTGCCTTTTAAATAGCTAAAGATTAAGGCTTTATTTGGGACCAATTTTGTATTGCTTTTTAAAATAAAGTTTTAATAATAAAGAAATATCATTTTTAATATTTTATGAACAAGTCTTTTTTAGATCTACCTCTATCTTCCTTAACATAAGATTTTAATACAGGTACTTTCTTAACCGGGTCATCGAAATGTCGCAGTTTAATGTGACTAATTCATACTTAATACTCAATTAAAAAAAAACGAATGCCAATGTATCTTTAAAAATGGCTTAGACTTCATTTGATATAGTTTTCTTATTAATTTTTATAGTAGCTTTCTAACATAATTTTTTAAAAGCAACAATAAAGTTGTGGCCAAAAGTTGTCTCTAAAGAAGACTTAGGCTTCGTTTGGGATGACTTTTTTATTGATTTCTAAAACGGAGTTTTAGTTCAAAAATAAAAAAAATTGTACTAAAACTCCGTTTTAGAAAGCAATAAAAAAGCCGTCCCAAACGAAGCCTTAGGCTTCGTTTGAGATTGCTTCATTATTGCTTTCGAAATGGCTTTTTTTATATAAAACTTTTTAATTCAAGAAATTTTTATACTAAAAAGTTATTTTAAAAAGCAACAATAAAACTATCCCAAATAAAACCTTTAGGATAATTTTCTCACTATTTTTTAAAACAGCTTTTTAGTAAAAAAAATTATTTCAATAAAATTCTACATTAAAAAGCTGATTTAGAACCCTAAAAAGCCTTTAATTGAATCCACTTGTTGTTTATTCATGATTTTTGATAAATATAATCCCAATGATCTTTAATGAAAAGCTTTGTTAAGGGAGCAAAGGAATGTAGAGACTTGCGAGAATGATACTGTCATGCCCTTTTTCTAATGAAAGAAAGGTTTCTATTTAATCGAAGTTTAATAAAGAATACATGTACTACTATTTAATACCTGCTTATGTACCTGTAACTAGTGTGAGAACTCTTGGCTATGTATTTATATGTCCACTGTATTCACCTAATGGCGATCTATGTCTTTCAATACAATATTATTTTCCTCTCTATTCACATGGTATTAGAGCAGCTTTCCTCAGCTCTTCATCTCTGAGCTCTTCGTTCTCGTCTTGCTTCTATCTTTATTCTTCTCTCCGACACGATGGAAGCTTCTTCCACATCTCAGCTCACGAATCGTCAAGATTCAGAGAGGGATGACAGCTTCAACATCCCAGCAGCTCTCAAATTCGTCATATCCAACATCAAGATCAGTGTTCACATGCCTCTCTCAGCCGGCAATTATTCGGTATGGAGATCTCAAATCTTGAAACTCCTCAACGCCAATGGTTTCGCCTCCTTTCTTCTTCCGATGGCGTCCACTCATGATTGCTACATAGATCGTCAAGATGACAGCAAAGAACTTAATCTAAAATATCAAGAATTGGTTCTTGTTGATCAAAATCTAGTGGCGGCACTATGCTCCACGCTTTCACTGGCGATTCTGCCCTATGTAATTCATCTTGAATCTACCTCGGCCATCTGGGCTACAATCGAATGCATGCTTCAATCCTCCAACAGATTACGTGTAATATAGCTAAAAAATGAATGGCATAATGTTCAAATGAAGATTCAGACAATGTTGTAATACCTCACGCATATCAAAACAATCATGGACAACATCGCTGCTGCAGGCACGATTCTTGATCAAGAAGACATCATCCTCTACACGCTCAATGGTCTCCCACAATCATACAATGCCTTCAAGACTTCCATTCGCACGATGCTCAATCCAATTGATCTAGACAATCTTTACTCGCTGTTAATCAATGAAGAAATCAATCTTTAGGCTGAAGCTCTTCGAAATGTCTCGATAGCCGATTCCTTTACAGCATTATATTCTCACAGAGGTAGGGGACGACGAGGTCGCGACCGTAACTCAGCTCAATCGTGACGAACGAATCCTACTACTAGCATTCAGTGTCAAATCTGCATCAAACGAGGACATTCTGTCAATAATTGCTAGCATCGTCTTAATATTACGGTCAATCCTCCGGAAACACACTCGACACAGCCCTCATCCCGTGCCCTGGTTGCTACAAATGATACCTCCAACACAGACTGGTACCTGGACTCCGGCGCATCTGCACATCTTACAAACTCTATAGACAGCCTTTCTCAGGCCAGCTCTTACAACGGATCCAATAATATCACCATCGATATGGAAAATCTTTACCCATTGCTCACTCAGGCAATGGCATTCTGCCAACACTGTACAACAAGCTTAAACTCAATCATCTTCTTCACGTTCCCAAATTATCTCACAATCTTTTATCCATTTCTAATATAACTCAAGATAACAATGTATCAGTTTATTTTGATTCACATGGTTTTATTATTAAGGACTTGACAACAAGTCAAACTCTGCTATCGGGCCCAAGTAACAAAGGACTCTACCCAATTCATTCTCCTGCTTCCTCCTACTCCAAGACTGTTCTTTCCGCCAAGCATCAAAACTCCTCCATCTGGCATCAAAGACTAGGGCATCCTAATGCTCAAACCGTTCATCTAGTTTATGTTAATAATAAGTCGTTGCATATACCTACTAATGCTTCTTTTTGCTCTAGCTATAAAATTTCAAAAGGACACAAACTTGTGTTTTCTAATTCATTTGATAGAGCATGTTTTCCATTAACTGTTATTCATTCTGATGTTTGGGGTCCTTCCCGGTAACTTCACATCAAGGCTTTCTATATTATGTGGTTTTTATCAACTATTTCTCTCATTTTACTTGGGTTTTTCCCATGTGGCACAAATATGAAGTTTTTAATATTTTTATTGATTTCAAAGGCTTTGCGGAAAAACAAACCAATTTTCAAATTAAATGTCTGCGATTTGACGGTGGCACTGAATATTTGAATTCTAACTTCAAAACCTTTCTTACTAAATAGGGAATTCAACATCAAACTTTTTGTCGTTATACACCGGAACAAAACGGTCTAGCAGAGTGCAAACACAAACACTTAATAGAAACCACTCGCACTTTATTGCACAGTTCATCTCTTCCACACTCATTTTAGCCCGATGCTTTTCTCACAGCATCATATCTCATTAATCGCCTACCCTCTTCCACAACTAACTTTACCTATCCTCTATACATTCTTTTTCACAATTACTTGACTACATCGTCCTCAAAATATTTGGAAGCTTGCTTTCCCTGGATTCCACCAATTCAAAGGAACAAACTTTAATCTCGCTCTCGGCAATGTGTCTTTCTTCGATATTCAACAAAATATTTATTTCAAGACATGTAGTCTTTGATGAAACTTGTTTTCCTTTCAAACAACACATCTCCTCTCAGCTTCCACAAAATTCTACTTCAATTCCTTCATCTCCTTTTGTTCCTTCAACTACCACACACCATCCCAATCAACACAATACTGTTTTCAAACTCAATCATCCTATCTCTCGGCCAACAACTTAGTAGGAATCACTCACTGCAAATTCCACTTACACAGAATTGCCTATCTCTTCCACTGATATTTCATCCTCCCAAATTTCTCTGATCTCGCTTCACCTTCTGCTTCTCCAACAACTACTTCGGGCCATCCTAGGACTACAAGACTCAAAACTGGTTCTCTCAAACCAATTGAAAAACTCAACCTGCTTCACATTCAAAACCATTCTCAAATCTCTCCACCACCTGAACCCTACAACTATCATGAAGCAAGCAAATACTATCAGTGGAGAACAACCATGGCAGATGAATTTCATGCTTTACAATGTTAGGGAACTTGGCAGCTGGTACCACCTCCTCCAAATGTACCTATACTTGGCAACCGTTGGACGTTCATAACAAAATACAACTCTGATGGTACCATTGTAAGGTTCAAAGCTCGATTAGTTGCCCAATGCAACAATCAATAATAAGGAATAAACTATTTGGAGACTTTCAGTCCAGTAGCTAAATTTCCTACCATACGAGTCCTTCTCACAATCACTCTTACCAACAAATGGCATGTACATCAAATGGATGTAATAAATGCTTTTTTACACGGGAATCTTCTACATGAGACAAACGAAAGGCTTCGAAAATGACAACAACCCGAATCATGTTTGTCAACTCAAGATAGCAATATACGGCCTCAAACAAGCACCTCGTCAGTGGTTCAATACATTTTCCACATACCTATACACTCTCGGCTTTGCTCATGGAAAAGCAGATTCATCACTCTTTGTTCTTCACAATGATAATACTTACATAGCTATCTATGTGGATGACATACTATTAACAGGAAATAATTCTTCCATGATTGCTACTATCATTTCTCAGCTGAACACCAGGTTCTCCATGAAACATCTTGATCTTGCCAACAGCTTCTTGGGACTTCAAAATAAGACAAATCATAATTCTTACTTCTTATCTCAAACAAATTATGCTGCCTCAATTCTCAAGTTGGCCGGCATTAACAACACTAAATCTCTGTCCAACCCGTTGTGTACAAAGGTTCCAGATATTATTCCCACCTCACAGCTGCTGACCGATCCTAAAATATACAGGCAAATCACGAGATCGTTGCAATACCTCACATTAACACGGCCAGACATCTCTTATGCAGTCAATTTACTTTGTCAAAATATGCACAATCCCTCCTCTTATCACTTCTATTTACTTCATCGCTTATTAAGATATATCTATGGTACACTATCATTTGGTATTCCTATTCTGCCAGGTACACTGGAACTAAAATCCTTCTCGGATGCGGATTGAGCAGGTGATAAGGACACAAGAAAATCGACCTCTAGCTACTGCACTTTTTTGGGCCACACTCTCATCTCCTGGACCGTCAAGAAGCAACATATGATTGCCCGTTCTTCAACAGAAGCTGAGTACAGGGCCATAGCATTGGCTCTCACCGACATCATATGGATGTGAAGACTTCTGCTTGATTTTAACATCCAACTTCACTCTCCTACAAGCCTACACTGTGATAGTATGTCTGCTATAGCACTCGCCAACAACCCAGTTTTTTCATGCACGAACGAAGCACATTGACATCGATCATCACTTCATTCGTGATCACATTCAGCCGCAAACTGTAAAAATCTACCCAGTCTCTATCAAGGATCAAATCGCTAATATCTTCACCAAACCTCTCTCGACTAGCATATATCAACTTCTTCGGGACAAGCATTCCCACTCCATTAGCTTGCGGGGGCGTAATAAAGAATACATGCACAACTATTTAATACCTGCTTATGTACCTGTAACTAGTGTTAGGACTCTTGGCTATGTATTTATATGTCAATACCTTATGGCAATCTCTATCTTTCAATACAATATTATTTTATTCTCTATTCACAAAGTTTAATATTATTTTTTAAGTGTGGAAAAAGAGACTTTGGACCAATTATACATTAAATGAGAGATAGCTTTACGTGTCAATTAATCTTCAAACTTCAATGGTGGACTTTGATGTTGATGGATGTGATGGCAGAGAAATCAAAATTGGTGAGGACAAAGTTTTAGAAAGATTAAAAAAAAAAAAAATAGCAGGAAACAAAATGAAAAGAAAAAAAAAATTATAAAGAATGCTAGTCAGTTGCCTTAGAAAACGGTCGGCTCTGGTGACCGAGTTGGTTGGGTAATTCTTATTTTTGAAACATATTTTGACACAAATTTATTTAAAATAAAAAATAATAATTAAAATACGGGATAATCCCAGCTGCTTATAACGGGAGAATCTCCGCTAATGTCAAAAAATGGAGACCATTTGATCAATTTTATGTAACAATCGATCACAAAATAAGATATGTGGGAAAAAATTTCTGCTATAATTCAAATCATTAATAGATTTAATTAAAACATGCGAGGGGTTCAACAGGGTAACGGAAAAATCGCCAATGAGATTAAGATTTAAGAAGAATTTTTGGATAGCATCGAGAGAAGGGCGGTGACGCAAGAGCAAGGATCTCCTTCTTTGAGATCCATAGAGATTGGTTATCCACCGAAAGTAGAATTATGCCGTTTTAGGTTTGTGTTGGGCTAAGCTGATATACAACTTACGCTACAGATTAAGCCCATTTTAATTCAATACCGGTGGATTTTTGTCACTTAATAAATGGATTGGCCCTATAAGTTAAAGCCCAAGAAGCACTCGGCCTTTATCGAAGGTAATCTTGCTTGGCAATTATAGGCCAGCTTAAACTCCAGCAGCTGTATCCAACACCATGCAATTTTATTTATCTTCATATTTTTTTTTTCTTAAGGTTTTTGTAAGATTAAAGAGTTCTCTAATTCTTATAAGAACTTTTTTTAAGGTTAAGTTTTTTAACTTTTATAAGAACTCACAATATGCATTATAAATTCTCTAATTCTTGCAAGAACTCATATTATAAATTATGTGAAAGAAATCGAAATGAAAATATGAATTTACATAAATCTTAAATCCACAAAATCTTAAATAAGATGATTTTCACAAGATTTCAATCAGAAGAAAATTTATTTTGATTCATGTTGAATTCCAAACTATGAGTTCTCTCCCTTTTCGGTTTCAATTTCTTCTTTCATGAGTAAATTATCTATGGAACAAACTAAATCATCATTATGAGAGAAGAGATCCCAAGCAAGAAAGCAAGATAGATATCAGAGATTGCTCTTGCCACCTAGCTCTTATTCAACCACAGCCCAGACTTCTGCCGGACCACCGTCTGAAGCCAGACTTTTGCCGGACCATTGCCTGACGCTGGACTTCTATCAGACGATCGACTGATGCCCGAACTTTTGTCGGACGACCACCTGACGTGGGACTTCGGCTGGACCACCGACTGACTCCCGGACTTCAGCCTGACCACCGCCTGACGTCGAACTTCTGCCGGACCACCGACTGACACCCATCAATTTCATCAGTATTAATAACTAAAAGAAAACAATATAAAAAAGTTTTGATCATATATATATCAGATAGGTATTAGGCAATGAGTGATTAGAGAGACATTAAAAAGTTAAAACAGAAAAAAAAAACTATTAGAGGAAGCAAAGGCAGATATCTCATCACGTTCTCTCTATTTCTCCCTTACCTCTCTGTAATGGCAAAGTAAAATTTATTGTGTAGTACTTTAAGATTATCAGTATTGTTTTATTTGCAAACAAAAAAAAAAAAAGAATTTTACAAATACTTTTATTCCAATTCTAAGTGAATGACCAAAAAGCATGTAAGACCCTTCTTGTTAATTTTATAAGATCATCTTAAATTGAGGCACAATCTCTATTTCAAAAAAAAAAAAATTCTCGCAGTATAGGTATGACTGTTAATTCGGGTTGACGGGTCGGGGACGGGTCGAACCTGAACTGACACGAAGCTAAACGGGTCGACCTGAACCTGACCCGTTTAGTTATACGGGTCCAATTACTGAACCCGGACCCAACCCGAAATTTTTTTAGAAAGAAAAATGTAAAACAGAAAAATTTATGAAATAATATGATAAATAAACCAAAAAACAATGAAATAATAAATGAATACAAAAAAATTATGATTAATAAACAAAAACTCTAGTTTCTATAATACAAGACACGTTACAATTTATAAATTTACAATTTACAAATACAAGATACAAATATACAATGATACATTACAATTTACAATTTACAAATACACAAAAAAATTAGTAAATCACAACCAGAGTTGTTGTTGCTCATTGCTCAAGCAGTCAAGCATCAAGTAGTTAGCTTCTTTATCATTCACTAATTCATCTTATCTGAATTTTGAATTCTAATATTCGTCATCTGAACAATGAACATCTAGGGCTGTCACTCACTCAGTAACTAAGCATAATCAATTATTAATGAACCTGCAAGGCTGCAAGCCTGCAACAAAATTAAGTAAAAGTCACAAGCTCAAGCTCAAGGAATCACCGGCTTAGGCTTTAGGGCCTTCGGCTTTAGAATGAACAAATTGAAAATTGAAGCATCATTTACAAAACTCAGCAAATAATGTAGAATAGTAGATCAGTCGATCAGAAACCAAAACTCAACAAAATGCCAAAATACTTCTAAAAAAACGAAAACAAAGTTATTCATGACTAATGAGTTCACTGACTAGTGATTACAGTCTTACAAACCAAGCAAGGATGACCAAATTTCAAAGGTGCGAACTGCGAGTGTGAACGGCCTAGAGGAAGGCAAGAAGCGAGAGAATCGGAGAACGGAGTCGGAGATAGAGAAACCCTAACTCAGAAATGAGAAATCCCTAAAACGACAGCCCTCAGCTTATGCTTATTCGCTCGATGACTCATTGGCTCAAGTGCTTGACCGCTCGACGTTATTAAAACCCTCATAGGATTAGGCTCAATGGCTCATACGGTTGACGGGTTGAGGGTTGACATGGGTTGTTTTCGGGTCGGAATCGGGTTAACGGGTTGACCCGAACCAGACCCGATTGCTATACGGGTCCAAATTTAAAACCAAAACCCGACCCGTTTCTTTAACGGGTCGACCCGAACCGGAATTTTCAGATCGGGTTCGGGTCGGGTCAGTTGTTGACAACTCTAACTATAGGATTACAGATAAAATCTCCTATGTGGGCATGTATTCGGTGTCCAGTTAAGAAATGGGGAAAAAAAACAGAGATGAATCCAACTGATTTCATAGTTTAATTGTTTACATGTTTTTAAAATTTTTCTCTCCTAATAGACTTAAAGTCTTTTTTGGGACAACTGTAGAGTTTTGTAAATGTAAATTATGTAATTGTGAAGCAGCTATGTAAAAATTTACTTTTTTGAAAACTACTGTGTTCATTATAAATATAAAGTTTATGTGGAAACTTTCTTAATGCTTTGCATTTCAAAACATGCAAACAATTATGTTGGCTACTGTTTTTAAGAAATTGTTGCATTATGAAGGTCCTTTTTACAATAGTTTTTAAAAAAATATTTTCACCACAACAATTTATAACTATATTTGTAATAAGCTATAGTAGTCCCAAACATTCTCATATTCTTTTTTTAATAAATAGAATATTTTTTTTTTCTTAAGATAAAAACGCATTAGCAACTCCAGTTGTAAAAAGTAGCTTCCCAATGCAAAGATTTTTCGAAAGCAGTACCTAAATGGAATAGCATTTACAACATGAATATCAAAGTAATGAGATATATCGTGATTTTTTATAAAAATGATTGTGAAGATGTTGTGAGAAAAGTAATTTAAAAAAAATAATAATATACTAATTACAAATATGTTCATTTTTAAAAAGTGGGCAACAACTTTCTTGCAACTCCCATTTATTAGTAGATTTTATAGGAAAAAATAGCTTCTTATCACATATTTTTGTGAAAAATAGCAATAAAGTAGTTGCTAAATGGAATTATAATTATAATTTTAGAAGCAAAGCAATTAAAATGCTGCCCTAACGAAATGAGACATAATTTTGAAATATATATTTTAATAATTTTATATTTAATTTTTAATTGTTAATATAATTTAGTTATATTTTATATTAATATTTTTAATCGAGCTAGCTCATGAATTAACGAGCTGGATCCAAAATGGCTCAAACTTGACTCATTTGTTTATCGAGCTCGAATCACTAGTCACTTACCGGGCTAAGCTCCAATCACTAGTCACTTTTCGAGTTAAGCTCGAACTTACTCAAGAATCACATCAGATATTTTTAAAGATTATTGATTTTTAAAATCTATTGCAGTATAATTTATATCAGAATATTTTAAGTCTGAAAATAAATTAAAAATTTTCTGTTGAATAACTAAATCAAGCAGCACATGTTTGGTATCACAATGCCTTCACTTTTTCTTTATTAAAACAATTAACAAACAGCCGCTTATTCTGTCCTCCATCCAAATATTCCAATGGACAGAGCCACCCTTTCTTATTTCCCACATCATAAACTATTCATTTATTCCCCAATATAATTTGAACCCAAATTTAAAAAAAAAATCAAAACTTGGTAGGAAAAGAAGTACAAAACGAGATTTTTTAATTGAAAACCGAGCAGTCCCGACGAATATTTCCCTGTGAGGTGTTGGTCTTGACGCCTACACGCCCGAGGCGAGTTATGGCTGCTATAAAGGCAGTGTTGAACGCGTTAGAATTAGCAGCCCATGTGTCGACCGTCGGGCGGGATCGGGAATCATCGGCTAGGATCTGGTCAGACGTGAAAAGGCCCATACGTTGTTGTAGGTTTCGAAAGTATATGTTGTCGAAGGTTCGAGGGGTGATGGGGTCCATGTTGATCGCCACATTAGGATCTACATTGCGTGGGCACATTCCTTGCAATTGAGTTGCGTACGTTTTATTTAGGCTCGGGTCGATTGCTCCTTTGCGCCGTCCAAAATCGTAGATCCGATTGGAAAATCTGTTGCAATGTGAGAACCCTAATGTGTGGGCCGCTGCATTAAAAAAATTGTATATAAGATTAAGGCTCTGTTAGTTAAGAAATCATTCTGTATGAAGACCGGATATAGAACATTTTTCGAAGGCTAATCAGAATATGCCACGTTAGTGATACCGAGCATTACCGAGCCGCAGTAACTAGCACATAAATGATGTGGCACATTTTGGTTGGTCTCCGGATGACATTCGACGTCCACACATAATAGTTAATCATATTTGAGGTGGCTTTTTTTTCTATTTTAAAACTAAAATTTTAATATAAAAATTATATTTTTAAAATTATTTCAAGAAATAATAAAAAAGTTATCCAAAATAAAATCTAATTTGAAATAAAAAATGATATATAATTATATCAAGAAATTTGCAAATTTTTTAATAAATTTTCTGGTTAAAAATCACATCAATTGATGAATGGAACTGGTAAGATAAGTAGTCTTTGTCTATGGTCTCTCTATTAAAGTTCTTTTAAATATTTGAAAATAAAACTTTAAAAGTTGTCATCTCAAGTTTTGGTTGACTTATTTTATCCGCGAATTAGTTTGCTAATTGACACTCCAACTAACCCTTAATAATTACTTGTATATTTTATTATTTTTTGTACATTTGCTACATCAATCCAAGGCCTTCTCCTAAGGAAGGGCCTCATTTGTAATCGACTACAAATACTAGTGGATTCATTCAAACCGGGCCAGGCCCCGTGGTTTTTCCCCCTTTTTTCAGGGGTTTTCCACGTAAAAACTTTGGTGTCTCTTATGAACGCTACACCCTCTCACTTATCTGCTTGTGTACTGGATCTTCGTACAATGCTAAGACGTTAAACTAAATATTTCTCTACCGCCGCGAATATTCCAGGACGCAACAAGTATAAAAAAAAAATTATCACAAATGAAATCTTAAGATTCATTTAAAGAACAAAAAATAATAAAGTGTTGTCATAAAAAAAACTTTAATCTCTTACTAAATAAGTTGAAGATATAATATAAATGTACAAATATTTAACGGTTGTCTGCCATCCATTGACTTAAGCATTTCTATTTAAAATTAATTTTACAACTTATTTAATTAAGAAGTACCGTTTGATGTTTCACCCTAAGACAGTATTGATCTAAGATTTTAAAATGAGTGAACTAAACTTCGGGAGAACCATGATTGAAACGTACATGCTTTAACCATGAGAAAATTTAAGCTCGGATATTTTGATTAAAATTTAATATACAACATTTTATAAAATAAATTGTGAAGTCATTATGAGAAAAATAATTGAACTAAAATGGCTACAAAAAAATAACTTTTCATTATAATAATTATTGAAAAGCAGTAAGAAAACATAAAGAAAATAATAGACAAATATAATTTTAATTAATTTTTAAAAAATAAAATAGCAAAAAAGCTATCGCTAATAGACCCTCAATCATAAAAACAGGACATCCTTATGTTTCAAAGGATATCCCGATCGACCTAGCATGCAACCCCCACCATTTACATGGGCCGACACTTAAGGCTTTCACGGCATGAAAAGGGATTCGAACCAGGGACCTGTGCTTTGCCCAGCCGGCTCATCACCACCAAGACAAACCGCGGTGGGTATAGACCCTCAATCAAAATAAGTTTATATTTTTTTACATTTATTATAATAATAATAAAATACAATATTTATCGATTAATTCTTATATTGTATATCTCTCGAAGCAAATCCAACATTAAAGTTTGTCATAATTAAATTATGATCACAATATTCTTATTTAATTTTTTTTCTTACATTGTAAATGAATTATATATGTATATTAATGCATTTGGATTAATGTGTCGCCTAATCACTAAAACGCGTGTGGATTACACGATGCATTAGACCATGATAATGAAATCTAGATGAGGTTACGTGCGTGAGGCGAGATTGTAGAGAGCGACATTTTAACAACTTGTGAAAGCGAAGACCGCTGACTTCTCTTGATCAGCTAATGATATATCTAGAGACCAGAGTAGTTGCCGGCTGCTTCAATCGTCCAAGTGGCCAAGCATATATTATTTAGCTCTTAAAATACAAGCTTATTCCTCTCAACACATTAGATGAGAACAATCAGAAAATCTGATTCGGTTTAAACAAGTTGCTTGCCTAGGAGAGCAGAATATATTGTACTAAAAATATATTAGCAAAATGGGCTAATGGCGTTGAAGGTGTTCTATATTTAGCGACTTCAATGGTGCAAACTGTTTCTGTATTAATTTTTTTATAAATAAAATTTGGTTAATCGACAACTCCCATCATTTATCGAATAGAAAAGAGAGCATGATCGCTTATAACTAACTGTTCACTCTTTATTTAGATAGTAATTAAGGGTTACCCACAATTATTAAAGTTCCTTCACTTCGAAGCAAAAGGAGGATTTTTATCTTGTCGGATTTTTTCTTAGATTATTTTTTTTATATATATTGAAATTTTAGATATATTAGTAGTTTTTCTTCTTTCTAATTATTTCATTCAATAATTTTTTTTTTTCATATGATAGTTTTGATTAAGAATATGTTAGGATTCAATAATAGGGCATGGATCAGCTGAGAAAGTTCATAGATGTGTTTTATTAAACGTATAAAATTAGAGGGAAAAAAAAATGAAAAAAGAAAAACATATAATTAAAAAATACAAGGAGAAATTTGAGAAAGGTTAGCAAAATATGCAACAACAATGTTTTGGTATCCAGCTTACAGTGTTCTCTGTATGCCTTAATATTATGAAAATCTGATTCAAACTAAGTCAATTCAATTCAGGCTAAGCTAATTTAGTATAAGCCAATCTAATTCAAAGCCCTACAAGTGGAGAAATTATTACTTGCAGTCACCGGACGCCATCCGGAGGCGAATCAGGACGCGTCATGTCACCATTTTATTGTGTATTGGTGCTGTGTACCGGGTCATGCGGCACATCTTGATTCACCTCCAGACAGTCCGGTGACCATATAATCATTATTGAAGAATACAACACAATTCAAGTCTAATCTTAATCTTAATCAACTTCTTAAATCTGGTTCAAATTCTATTGTGATATTATTAATTAACCCAAAATAAATATTGGCATATACAATTAATAAAAAATATTTTTATGTATTATATATTCAATAATACCTTCAAATCCCCTTATTCCTAAAACAAAAAACTATAAAAGTGAAAAAGAAAGAATCAAAAGAAAGAAGTAAAGGAACAAGACGAAAAAGGTTAGTAGCGCCAGCAGCAAAAGTTGCCTGATGCAACATTTGCCGGTACCCACGCACATGAATACATGATTCTTCTATCCAATAGCCAAAATAATAATCCACCATCTTTTTCACAAATCGAAACGTGCCATATGGCGACCATGAAAGCCTCGCTTAAAACAACAATTACCAACTACTAATTATCCCTATTATTTCCAACTACTAAAGTCTGTACTAAACCCAAAATTTTAATAATTATTTTAATAAAATTTTGAAGAATGTGCTGAGCTTATTGTTTTCCGTGTATTAGAGTTTATTTAATTTTTCATAAATCATGTGGTAATCTTCGGTTAAAACTTTCAGGCTGCAATGGATTCCTGTTTGAAGAAATAAAATACTGGCCGGACATTCGGTATGCTTTATTACTTTAAATTCGTTAGGGAACAAATGGCACTGTTCCGTCGATGTTAAGCAACGTGGTCCAAAAGAATCTCACCTGAAACGATTGTTAATTTCTCTCTCCTAAATTCATCAAAACAAATTTGGCGAATTATGTGAATTCAATCATTTGGGTTTTTTTTTTTTGGTGTAAAGGCGGTGAGCTATGCGGGAGGACGGCATACAGTGCAAGTGGGTAGAGTTCGTACCTGAGAGGGCGATCATGTCCGTTTGGGAGAGCCCATTAGCAGCAAAGAGGGAATTGAGCTGGTTAAGGTTGAAGCTCGGTTGGGGCAGTTTGCCATTGACGCTCGCGGCGGTGGAGACGAGCCCGTCCAGCCTCCCCAGCTCCACCGCGTACGACGGTCCGCCGGCCTAGATTCGCACAAAAAAGTGATTTAACATTTTACGTCATACTTTGTAAAATTTGTCAAAACTAAACTGTAATCAACGAAGAGCGGAAATCTCATAAACTAAATAAATTACTAAAGTTTGATAAAACTCAACAAAAACTGAGCACAAAATTCACCCGAAGAACAAAATATTATAATTCATAAATGAAACTGTCTTGCGCAAAAGAAATTCATCCTTCCTAATTGATCGATTTCAGTAAAATTTACTCAAAAGATATCAAACTTTCGGATTTTTTTTTTTCAGATTATTTTGCTCCAAAATCAACACAATTGATTTAGCAAAATCTGTGGAAACTGCTGAAGTCATTGCGATGGCACAAGCAAAGCAAAAACTCTTTTGTTGGACGCGAAACAGAAATCGAATCAGAATTTGGAAATAAAACAGAGGAATCGAACCAGGGAGATGACATCGCGGGTGGCCATGGTGAGGATATCTGCGCAGGAGACCTTGTTTCGGCATTGGGTGACGGCGTCGACGGCAGCCTTGGCTTTGATGACTGTGTCAAACCCATCGCCGGCGAGCGAGAGATTGTCCGAATTATCCTTTTCCGCCTTATTGTTCGCCGTTGACGCCACAATTACTGACGCATCGCAACCCTGCATGTCACGGGATGAGAAAATCGCAAACATACACAAAGCCAGAAAATAAGATCGAAGGAGAACTGTGAAGTACATTGACGAAGCAGTCATGGAAGAAGAGGCGGAGTGTTCCGGGAACGGTGACGAAGGTTTGCTGAAACTTTTTGGTAACAGCGTTCCGAACGATGCTTTCTACATTAGGGCATATTTTGGAGTAATAATTCTGCCGGAGTTGGGCGGAGCTCGGCTGAACCACGAGACAAGTAGTACAGACGGAGATGAGCAACAGAAGCTCTAAATTGAGCTTCGCCATTGATATATCTCTGCTAATAATTAAGATTCTAAGGGAAAGGGAGACACAATGATTCGTGAGTGGTCGATGTATGGAAAGGATCGGAGGAGGAAGAGAGGTATAAGAAGGGGAGAATGGCGGGCTCTGCCAGCTGGAATTGGGAATCTCCAATGAAAGCAGAGAAAAAGGGCGAAGAAGAGTCTAAGCTAGCAGGGAAATTTTAGCTAAGGATATATTGTTCAAAATTTATGTCTAAGTTTTATTTAGAATAATTTTAATTTTTTTTATTTTGATTTTAAAAAGCTCTGTTTTTAGTTTCAAAAATATTTATTCAAAAACAATTTAAATGACAAAATTTCAAAATTGTGATGAAAAAACTATTCTTATTTGTAAAGTTATAAATTTGTTTTTCCAAAAATATATTAAATTATGAGGAGTTCATAAAAATAAATTCTATTTTAATTTGAATTCTTCATACTCTCAAAAATAAGTACATTACAAACATATGTACTGCATTTTTTTTTTTTAATTTTTTTTATTTTGATTTTAAAAAGCTCTGTTTTTAGTTTCAAAAATATTTATTCAAAAACAATTTAAATGACAAAATTTCAAAATTGTGATGAAAAAACTATTCTTATTTGTAAAGTTATAAATTTGTTTTTCCAAAAATATATTAAATTATGGGGAGTTTATAAAAATAAATTCTATTTTAATTTGAATTCTTCATATATACTGCATTTTTTTTAAGGAATTCATCTAAATATAATGCCATTGAAATAATGGAATGAAGACACTTTCTTGATCCATATATGTGAAAGTAAATAAATTCAAGTAATTAAAATGTTTTTATGGATAAGCAATTATTGACTTTTCTTTTATTAATTTTTCTCCTTTTGAGTTAAATCATTTAAATGCAAAGTTGAATTTGTTTATATTTTACAATTTAAATATAATTTTTGAAAAATAAAATATGTTCTGATAAAAAGATATATTTCATAAATGCTAAGTTAGTGGAGACATTGTCATGTTGCAATAATACTTTTCTAAACTTTTAAAGACTTAAGATTGTGTGAATGCTCATTTAATTGATAAAATTTTATAGTATATATACATATAATAATTAAAACTTTGTATTTTTTTGTATAGTACAGAAATTTTTAAGTCTCATTTAAAATACTATTAATATTAGCTTATTTGAAACAAAATATATTTTTATGCGATTTATATATTACAATTTTTAAAGAGCAAATATTAAAATTTAAATATTTTAATATGAGGTTTAGCCTGCTGTGAGTAATATTATAAGGAGGAACAAAGATGACGCAATGATACAGAAAGGTAATGATCAGTTCAATTCCGTCGTCTAAAAGCGGGAAGAACAGGTCGGTAAATGGTAGCGGTTACGTGTTAGGTAATAACTAAAAAGACGCGGCCTTTATATCAACCAGCATTTGCCACGTAGCTTTCATGCCACGCGGCGCGAGGTGGACTTAGGTGTTCGGCGAGAGGTCATGAAATTACAGCTGGAGGACACGATTGAAAATCAGCGAAAAACATGAACGGTGCAGTTTTTAGTTAGAATAGTACCGAGTAAAAAAAATTAATAAATCTACACTCTCTGAATAATAATAAGGGTTTATTTTGTAAAGTAGCCTCAGCATTAGTAGAACAAAATAAATAAATAAAAAATCGTCAAATAAAATAGAGTCACATAAAAAATCAGAATTCTAAGAAAAATAATTAAATAAAATTTTCTATTAAAAAATATTAAAAATCAT